TTGGCTAAAATCATCATCTTCCATCAGTGCTCGCATGTTAAGATCTATGAACCCATTTGCTCTTTTAGAAGAATTTGAGTCCATTAAACTACTACCGCACCACCTGCTCCGCCACCAGCACTACCGTCGTCACCTCTCAACCTTTCTCTGCTACCGCCACCACTGTTAGCCATCAAATACCTGAAGCATTTCCACTCCTCTTGCTGGTCCCTTCTCCGGCTGGAACCCAAGTCACATGAAAAACAACCTGGACATCTCTTCACCTCTAAGTTATCACCGAGTTAGACTCAACCCATTTCCTTCTTGACCAAGGACGATTTTGGGTATCACAAGAATGGACCTTTTTAGGTTTCCTTTATTGAAGGAAGAGGAATTTCATTAAGCTCGATTTCCTGAGTAGAGAGAGTTTGAAAAATATTAGTAATTGCTTCAATATACTCAGATAAATGCTTGAATGGGGGATTCTAACCTCTGAGGGAAAACTAAAGACTCTTTTTGGATTAAAATAGAAATCACAAGGGACAGTAAAAGGAATAATCCTTAGTTGTTGAGGACGTTGCTTTTGGATTAGTTAGTCCTTATTTGATCTGGGTTCTATTTCTTTTCGCCAACTGCTGCAGATTCTTAGCACTTTTGTTTCAAGGTGGAGAAGAAGAGGAGGCGGAGGCGGAGGCGGAGGCGAAGGCGGGTGGTGGAAAGGGAAACCATTGATGGTACTAATCAGATTAATATTAAGCCATGTGGCTATTGTGGATACTAATCAGATTAATTAGAAATTAATTAATTTTTATAGTAATTAACTGCAACTATTGATGGATAGCATATCTAGACCATTACGTATGGTTCAGTGGCATATTTTACCATGTTCCCTAAATTGTTTTGGCTGTGTAAACCAATAGCAAATGTAGAGAACCTTAGTATTAGAGAACCTCAAGTTATTGATAATTGGAAAGAAACGGGTCCATATGGGGCGTAACGGCAGTGAAGATTTATGGCGAACCCACTTCATCAAAAAAAAAAAGAGGAGAATTTATGGCAAACCCAAAGATGTTGCTGTTGAGGCATTGTTGTATTAAATTGTGATTGACAACACTCTGAGTAAGAACATTGAAGTTCAAGTGTTGGTTTTACTTGCAGGATGGCTAGGAGAGGTCAGCAAAGGAGCTCTTTTACAGTACTTGGTGATCCAGATTATTTCTAATGTGTATTATCTGGTTTCTAAACATTCTCCATGCTCGACTAGTGGATCAATTGAATAAATCATGATGTTATCAATGATGTCAAAGGTACCTTGTTTTCATAAGGATATTTAGCTTTTGTTGTTTAAAATTTGCATTTGATTGATCGAATCATTAATTTGATGAATCTGTGAGGCTGTGTTATTTGCCTCGGTTCTGCTTATCTCATGATGCTAAAGTTGAAGGCGTACACTAATTGAAAGAAGTTACAAGATTGGGTGCAAATGCCATTTGGTTATGTTATTCGTAGACTTATTTTGCACGAAGTGTTTAGCTTCAGGACTGAGACGATCTGTTATGTTTGAAGGACATCTTCAAACTTATCAGTGGTAAACTTAGTACTTGAAGAATGTAAGAATGGTCTTGAAGATTAGAATTCAAAGCTTTATTTTGTAGAGGGAAAACCAATGAAGCTTGCTATAGATGATGGTACGATGGTGCTGAAAATCTTCCATCTTGTAACAACTACTAAGGTAAAGAATAGAAGGCAGTAAACACAAAGTTAAAGACTATAGATGAGGATAAAACATGCTTACGTTATTTGCAATGGTAATACATCTCAGTGCTCTAGCTACCAGATGCTGGGTACATAAACTAGCCCTAATCTATGAAATAAGTGGCAGGCATTAATTACTTTGCAACTAAACTGTAATAAGTTGAAATTGCACAAAAACACCCATAATGCAGATGCTTCTATTGCGTGGAAGGTGTAAATGCGCATTTACAAATTTGTTTAACCTAAAAAATAATTGTCAAGGTCAAAGCAATTAATTTTATATGATGGGCCACAAGCAACCGATTCGATCCGAAAGACATAATTTTTTGTAAATACAGCGTGATAGAAGAGGATAATAAATTCAATGACAGCGTGAATCAGACGCTTGGTTGGAGGACCAGAAGTTCTTGAACTTAAGAGAAGTTCAACTTGTGGTTTGATCTTTGATTCTTAGATGTAATGATTCCATTTGTATTTGGAAGCCTTAGATATGTCCGGTAGTATTTATGGACTTGTTGGCATAATTGGACCGGGTCCTGGATGGCTCAGGCAAGTCTTGGACCTCTCGGAGCATGTTTGTGATGGCTGATTTCTGCTGGTGTCTAGTGTTCATTGCGTTTGCTAGGGGAGTCTTGCGTTCGCGATGAATGAGTTGGGCTGGAGGTCGTTTGTTCTTCGCGTTCACGCTAGGTGAGTCGCGTTCGCTAAAGCCTGCGGCATTAGTACTAAAAACAAAGTAGATAAAATGCTAGGGTTACTCTCTTTCCTTTGCCACTAAAGTGTACAGCATTTGTCGTGGTGGTGTGTATAAAAGTTTTACACTGTAAGTGTAGGTAAGTTACACCCATCACTGATTTAGTTATATGCACCTATAACTATAGCATAAAAGTTAGTGCAATCTAACATGTTCTCACTTTTGTTTTTTCGAATTATCATATTAGACTTGCTATGAATAATAATTACTCATTATCGTAAGTCAACTTAATTTGACAGTATAAAAATTCATACATTGTTAATGCACATTATTCAAACTCGTTAATCAAAGAGGGCTATATTATTATTGCGCGTTTAAAATTAGTTTGTTGTCATACATGGCAGATCTGTCCAACTACAAGATTGTCTGTTTCTTTGTTGAGAGATATGAAACAATGACAACTATAATTCAATGAGTTTTTATAGTTTTCTGCGCATTAATGAAAGCTAGAAATGGTCATAACAAATACTAGCAATGGACCCTTTTGCTTGAACCGGCAGTATTGCAGTAGGACTTAAATCCCATTCAAGAAATACTGCTCTAATTAATAGTCCCTCCGTTCACTTTTCCTTAACAGATATACTAAAAATAGATTTTTATTTTTACTTGTCACTTTACGCATATCAAGAGAAGACAAATTTTTTTTTTCTGTTATACCCACAATATTTATTACTCATTTCAAATTATTTTCTCAAATCCAATAAAATATGCATTAATTAATATGGGTATCATGATAAATTATACACTTCATTTATTATTTCTTAAGGGGTGTGAAAAATCAAAATGTGTCAGGTAAAAGTGAACGGAGGAGTAGGAAATTAACTTTGACACATTGTTTACAAGATGGAGAGACCAAATGGGATTAAGTCCGAATTTCATCGAATCAATAAAAATTGACGGAAATCTTTTGAATCAATCACAAACTATTTTCCAACTGCCATCTCAAAGTTTTCCTTTTTTTAACTTCAACCAAATATTTTTTCTCTTTCAATGACAATGAGAATCCAAACTTACTCTATGTTAAATTAGAGATTCACGTTCTTTCATAAAATACCCAAAAAATCGAACATATTGTCCTTTAGTCCTTAGAACTTTCTAAAATTAGATTAACTTAACACATCATTATACTTGTGATAATATCAGATTAAGTTAATGCATCATTGCACTGGAAAACCATTGCCCCAACAGTTGACTGAGTTGGTTGGGTAGCTTGCCTAGTACAATTTACATTTTTTGTGTGGTTTGCGAGCTATTGCAACATTGTTTACCCGAAAAATGGATAAAATTGAATTTATACGTAGTTCTAAGAATATGTGGCATAACTTAATACAAATCATAAGGATAAATAGAAATATAAATATGGATTGCAAAGAATGTGAAGTAGATAAAGTTGTAAAGAAAATGAATCTTAGGACTCAACAAGTAGAACCAATTTAAGAAACCTGAAAGGATGATTCTTTACTATGGGAGAATATAGTGTTTTATTACAATGTAAGCCTCAAAAACCTTTTCTTACATAAATGGTAACCATGCCCTTTTATAATGGAGGGATTTTGCTCTAAGCATAATAAAATAAACATTCAGTGGGAGACCCGTGATAAGTCAGCTTTTCCACAATTTCTGCCAAGATTCTCTCTAGTGGGATTGCAACGGCTTTTGTCTGCGAGCTCGATCTTGCTTAGAGCCCTCGATTTTGGTTTGAGCTCGATTCCGACTCGAGCTCTCGAATTGATTCAAGGTCAATGTTGGTTGGTCTCTGGATTATAAGCATGATAGATCTACTCTGCATCATGTTTCGATTTGGATTCAAGCTTGATAACCATGTCAAACTCGACACGAGGAGGAGGGGGGAGG